TGCAGAGTATTCCTCCATCGGTTCCCCATGCCTTTTTTTTTTTGTACCAGAGATCGAACTCGGGACCTTGCGCTTGCGAGGCAAGCGGCAGAACCACTGAGCTAAATCCCTAGCCCTAGTCTTTATTCTTAACCAACATGTTTTAGGACTCCAAAAGCTGCATAAAAATCAGATTTCATACCAGATTAAATTTGCCAACTCTTCATTGTATAATTCTGACACCTGGTCTGAATCCTAGGCTCTCCTCATTATTCTCATCAGTACATTTAAATTATGATATCACCTAGGAATTAGACTTAGCTTATTTTCAGCAACTTATTCCAATATAAGCGATAGATAAGAGCTTCGAAGGCTGGGATCCTCCCCACTCTGGCACTGAAATCAGCACATTGCTGACGCTTAGCCAAGTAAGGAATAGTGCATGAGCAAGAGCAGGAACTCAGGCTGGGGAGGTAGCTCAGTGGTAGCAGCCCTAGGTTTGTTCCCCACAGTGGCAAAAAAAAAAGGAGGGGCATGGTTTAGCTCAGTGGTGCTGCACCTACTGTGCAAGTGCAAGGTCCTGAGTTCCATCCCTGGTACCTAAAAAAAGAAAAGAATTTGGCATCAAAACAAATTTTTTTTTTTTGTATTTTTTTTGTACGGGGGACCAAACTCAGGTCCTTGCACTTGTGAGGCAGGCAGTGGAACCACTGAGCTAAATCCCTGACATCAAAACAAATTTTAATCCTAGTTCTATCAGTTCTGGACAATGTGATCTTGAGAAAATTGCATATCAGTGACAAAAGGGAAGTAAAACTGTACCTATCTCAGAGTTGCTAAGTGTATTACTTAAGGTACTATGTGCTGGGCATGGTGAAGCACAACTGTAATTCTGGTACTCTTGGAGGCTGAGGCAGGAGGGTCACAAGTTCAAGCCAATACTGGGCAACTTGGTGACTCAGCAAGAACCTGTCTTGAAAAATGAAAAGGAATGGGGTGTAACCTAGTGTGAAGTTCCTGGGTTCAATCCCCAGTGCCAGAAAAAAAATACTATGTATAAACAAAAAATTTCTCTTTTTTTTGGTTTTTTGAGGCAGGGTCTCCCTTTGTAGTTCACGGTAGCCCTGAACTCACTATGTAGCCCAGGCTGGCCTCCAACTCACAGCAATCCTCCTGCCTCAGCCTCCCAAGTGCTAGGGTTACAGGCATGTACCCCCTCCCTGGCTTATAAACAAAATTTTATCCATTGTCTTTTAGAAGAGATGAGTGATGGACTTGTTCACAGGAGCAGAAGTAAGTTTTTCTCACCAGAGTTAAGACAATTAGACTGTTGAATGCAAAGTAAGGTTTAAGGCCAGCAGTGATGTGTTTGGGCTGCTCCAGGGAAGGAGACTGAAAAATACTGGGTGGGTGGGCCTGCCTATCAAGTTTCATGCCCTGGGATATGATCTTGTTTCCCGGAATGAATGAATTAAGCAGTTTCCTACTGACTTTTTCATCAGATTTGCAGATGTCTGTTCCCTTGAGTGAGTCTCTTTGTGCTATTTTGGGAAGACTCCAAACTTTTAAACTGCAGATAAGTGCTCAATGTCTGCTTTCATATCATGCTCAGACATGAGCTGTTCAGCCACACAGCTTTTGATGTGAGTTGAGTAGGCAAGTAATTGAACCTTCCAGAAACCTACCAAGTCTGCCATCCTCAGCTGATGTTACAGACTGAGCATTTCCTAACTTGTGATGACTTGAGTCTTAGTTCATTAGTATTTAAAATTTGTGTTTTTAAAATAAGTACCAGGACTGGGGACACGGCTCAGTGGCAGAGTACTTGTCAGCATGCATTGGCCTCGGTTCCATTCCCATCACCTAAAACAAAAGAAAGTAAGATACAACAAATAATGCTTATAAATGGTACAAAATAATGTCACCTTGACCCTCAGTCACTCAGTTCCCTGCAATGGAAGTCATTAATTCATTCTTTTGTATCCTTCCAGAAAAAGTCTGTGCTTATACAATTAGATATTAAAAGTTTGATCTATGAAGAAGTCTTTATGAGAAAAATAGGTCACCTATATCTAATTAAACAGCTATATATAAGATTGATTTATTGCCTAAACACCACATTTACATCATAAACATGCACAAATAGTAAATCAAATATTCTTTGTCCATCAGGAACAATTAAATCAATCACATGCCAACTTATCTCTAGCAGTGGAGTAATTCATTCTAGATTTTTTGTTTATGGTGTAGGCAAACATACTATCAGTGAGCTATACTCCCAGCCCCATGGGCACCTGGTTCTAGAACAATCTCCCAAAGGTCACATCTAATGCAATAGATGCTTCCATCTTGGAAAGTAGGGGTTGTTTTGTTTTTTTGGTATCCTCACTCCTTGCTCCTTGAAATAGGGGAGACAGTCGTGAGAAGAACAAGAGCCTTGATGATGGACATGCAGATGCCAGTTCTGTTCACTTACAACAGCTACACTCTAGGCAAGTTACAAATATGAGCCTCTTCCTCATTGTAAAATGGATGTAATAATATTGGGTGTTGTGAGTAGTCAATGAAACAGGTAATTCTAAGCACCTAGTCTAGTGTCTGGCAAAAGCAGTCACTCAAGAAAGGATTTATGCACTTCTCAAGCTTTTTGTCCTAAGATCTACTTGCACATTTAAAAATTACTGAGGACTCAAGTAGCTTACACTTATGTGTGTTATATATCAACATTTGCTATATTAGACATTAAAACAAAATTTTGAAGTATTTATTTTAAATTCATTTAAAAATATGGGGCTGGGGATGTAGCTCAGTGGTGCTGTGCCTGCCTGGCAAGCACAAAGTCCTGGTACAGGAAAAAAAAAAAAAGATAAAAATAGCAATAGGGCTAGGGGAACAGTTCAGGAGTATGTTTAGCATGCTTGAGACGCTGGGTTCCATCCCCAGCACAAAAACATAACATAATAATAAATCACCAAAATTTTGAAGTATTTATTTTAAATTCATTTAAAAATATGGGGCTGGGGATGTAGCTCAGTGGTGCTGTGCCTGCCTGGCAAGCACAAAGTCC